GAGGACTACCAATGACAGGTGAATGAATTATGACGGCCCGTCCACAGCGTTAGAGGCCGATTTAGAATTTTTGACACAGTATTGGGCCATTAGAGATCGCGCCTGGCCGCCTCGGGCAGGTAAATTTGGCTTTGGGTTGATAAAATAAGTTGTCCCTGCGGTTTTATGCACCCCGCATAATTTAGGAAAATTTGATCATTTTTTTGATAATTTCTGATTATTTTCCTTTATCATTCTTTGTTAAAATTAACAGAATCGCATAATTTCACATTTTTGGGCTCAGTTTGCATAATTTCAGATTTTTGGGGTTTTTTGTTTGTGTGCATAAAACCGCAGGGACAGAATAAGGTGGTCGAGGCTGCGTTGTACATGTGGCCGTTTTACACTGTTAAATTATAATATATAGAAAAAAAAAATGCAAGAGGGGAATGCAAAGTGGCCGTCTGTACAGGTGGCCGTCATGGCGGGTTCGACTGTATTCAACTATTGTACTTTTATCATCGGCAAGCGGTCAAAATGTCCCGTGCCCAGATGCAAAATTTTTCAGGAGAAAAGAACAACTTTCATTCAACATCTTGGCAAATAGGAATGCATGTGGAGACGAAAGCAGATGGCAGGAAAAGAGGTGAAAGGGGACATTTGGAGAAGAAAAATGTCCGTCCCTATCCAGATTCGAAACCGGGACCTATTGAATGAAAGTCGAAAACCTTAACCTCTAGGCCAGGAGAATACCCCTGGAAACTCTCCATCATTGCTTGAGGTGTAACAACCCTGTGTGTTCACTTTGGCAAAGTTTGTAACCATAGCCACCCTTCTGTAATTCTACTACTACTACTACTACTACTACTACTACTACTACTACTACTACTACTACTACTACTACTACTACTACTACTAGTACTACTACTCCAGGTTCGATGCACATGTTTGGGTCGATTGACTCGATATTAACATTTGAGGCACCTTATAGCAAACACTGCCACATAGAAGAAAGTAACGTCCTGTCATTTCAACACTTATTTCTGACTGTCCTTACGGAGCACGAGACTTGAGAAAACTGGAATATCAACATGTGGAATAACATTTATCCAGTTTACACACGCTTTAGAAATGTCTGCTTCACGTTCCATTTCAGGATAGATTTAGATCTACGTTTCTGGATTAGTTTTAGTTTTAGTTTTAGTAGAGGTTTTACGGAACTCGCAACTGCATAATAAGGTCATATGAGCGCCAGAAGATTAGAAGTATTACAAGAGAGTAACAAATATAAAAAAAGAAGAAGGGGAGATAAGGACGATAGATGTTTGATAGGAAAAAAGAAGCAGACGACACCAGAACACCCGCCAACCACCCGCAATGTTTCAGGGTTGTTTTTCTGATGACAAGCCTGAGTCAATGCTTTTGAGTGAATTATAAATAATAAATGTGTTTTAATTTAGCTGATTTAGATAATTTATGAACTGTGTTCTGGAGATAATCATTGTCTGTCCTAATGTCTCTACTCCCCCTTCCCCTACAGTTCTCTATAGAAGATAAGATAGACCAAAAGAAAAGAATACACACACACACACACACACACACACACACACACAGAGAGAGAGATGGAGAGAGAGAGAGAGAGAGA